CCCAGAGCTGAAGGGAGTGAGGCAGCGTTTGGAGTATTTGTGATTCTGGGCTCAGCAGGGAGAAGGTGTAGGGTGTCCTCATACGGGACAGTGGTGGCATCTTCTGGGACAAATTGTCCCACCCTGCAGGCCCACAGAACCCTGGGTGGAGCCCTGCAGAGCCTGCTGAGGTTCTCAGTCTCTGCCCCATTGCCCTACCACGATGTGCTCCCACGCGCCTGATATGTCCAAAACCCCTAGGCCAGCAGGCTTCCCAACCCCTTGTGCAGTTTTAGAGTACCTGGCAAAATGCAGTCCTCTTGGTATCTGTGTTAGAGGATCTCAACACGAATCTCAGGAGGCAGACAGGGTCGGGATCAACACTCCAGGGACAAGAGGTGGGCCCCAGGCTCACGTGGCTGGCCCAAGGTCACACAGCTAATAACTGCTCATGGGAAACTTCAGGCTCGCTCTCTGGCTTCCAGCCCCACAACCCCACGTGGCCCCCACTACCTGCAAGGCAGGCAGACACGGCCCTTGGACCAACACCGTCGGTCCTCCTGGGCGGAGCTGCTGGTGGCCGTCCCCTTCAGCTCTGGTGGCAGAAGATCCTGTTCCCCATCAAGCTATCAAAGGCATCTGCTACTTGGGCGCCTTAGTTCCTGCCCGGAGCAAACCCGGTTACCATAGTAACCGGATGTGAGTCTTTGTTGCGGGGTGGATGGCTTTAATTTCGTGTTTGAAGAGTTTGGCCAGGCAGTCGCGTTGCCATGGCTTGGCTTGTCGGGCACAGTTAGGGGCAGAGGGAGGCCTTGGAGTGGCCGTGAGGTTTTCTGATGGAAAAGCCCAAGCCCTGGGGGCGGGAAAGGGAGGCCCCAGGTGGTGCTGGTGGCTGCCTCTCCTGTTCAGAGCTGGGCCTTCCTCACTGGAGCTCTCTTCGGGCAGACCCTCAGCAGACAGGGGCCATGCCCAGAAAGAGGGCCTTCTGCTCATGTTTGTTGAGTGACTGAATGAGCAAATGACCTTTGTGGTTTAAGAAGCCCTTGCACACCCGTATCTCTGTTCCTCCCCATCAGAGTTTAGAAAAGTCTCAAGGCTGGGCGAAGGGGAAACTGGGGCTCAGCCAGGGCAGAGACTGCCCACGTGGTGCTGCCACCCTGCCCTGCATTCTCACTGCTGCTCTTGCTTTCCATGGCCCCAGGGAGGCGGAGGAGACTCCTGTGTTCACATCATGGGACTGGATTGATTCGCCTCAAGTTCATGTCAGACTGATCCATACTCCTGGAGGGATCTGGTTTCATCCCCAGAGGCCCCGGGGCCCTGGGCAGGCACCACAGCTGCTCAAGGGGTGGTGAATGGGAAGGCAATGGAGGAGGAAGAAGAGAAGGCACATGGGATTGAGCTCAAAACTGAGCAGAAGCCCAGTCCCTGGAGGAGACAGTGGAACGTGCAGAACAAAGGGGGCACCCCATTCCCTAACCTCCCAGTGCAGGGCACAGTAGAAGGGAAGTGGGGCTCTGCCCAGCTTCTGCCCAGCCCCTTTCCCAGCCATGCTGACCCAGCCTCTGCCCTACCCCCTCAGGGTTGAGAGTGTATTTCTAGGTTAAATACAATCCCCCACCTACCCACCCTTGATCCAACTCATGTCTCTAACCCAGCCTGGTTTCCTTCCAGCCTGCAGCTCAGGCCCTCCTGGTTGTTCATGGGCTGCCCCAGGCCAGGATGTGCCTATGCTGGTGCCCTTCTTTGGGTTGACCGTATCACAGCACCTCCTGCCTGGAGGCCAGCACAAGCTCCGGGAGACAACAGCTCTCTGGGCCCTGCAGCAGGGCTGCTGTCCTGAGCGGGGCATTTGCAGGTGAGCTGGGACAGACAGCAGCAGAGGCACTGGAATGCTGAGAGCCCAGAACATGATGCAGTGGGGGGCACGCCTGCTAGGAAGTCTGCACCCCGGCAAATGCCCCGTCTCAGGCCTCCAAGACTCAGAATCGGGGGAGTGTTGGAGCTGGCTAGGACCTTCAAAGCTTCTCATTTCCCAGATAGAGAACGAAGCCACAGAGGGGAAGGATGTGAAGTCCCTTTCACAGTCACCAAACATCATGGGGACCCCACAGTGGACCCTCCGTAAGAGCAAAGGCTGGGCCTTCCCCGTATGTGCAATCCAGCACTGAGCATAGGCTGGGCACACAGCAGGTGCTCAGGAAGTGCTTGTCTGAGCAGGCGTCCTCATGATGTGACGGCAGGAACCTCGGCTGCGTGCAAGGTCAGGGCTAGAAGGAAGCTTTGACTTTATGAAGCTCAATTCTCATTCTGGAGAAAGACTGAGACCCCACCCATTAATAATGCTAAAAGTGGGGCAGGTGTTTGGTTTAGCAATGAAGATGCCAATTAAGGGGCCAACATCATGGGGTAACAGATAAAGCTCCTGCCTGCAATGCTGGCATCCCATATGGGTGCCAGTTAGAGTCCTGGCAGTTCCACTTCTGATCCAGTTCCTTGCTAATGACCTGGAAAAAGGAGTGGAAGATGGCCCAAGTGTTTGGGCCCACACCACCCATATGGGAGACCTAGATGAAGCTCCTGGCTTTAGCCTGGCACAGTGCTGGCCATCTTGGTCGTCTGGGGTGTGAAACAGCAGATGCAAGAGCTCACTGTCTGTCTCTCTCTCTCTATTTATTTGAAAATCAGAGTTTTATATATAAATAAATCTTTGGGGAAAAAAAAAAAGATGCCAGTTGAGACGCCATGTGCCAGATCAGAGTGCCTTACTTCGAGTCTTGGCTCCACTCCTGATTTGAGCTTCCTGCTGATGCACACCCTGGGAGGCAGCAGTGGTGGTCCAGTAGTTGGGCCCTGCCACCCACGTGGGAAACCCAGATTGGGTTCCTACCTCTCGGCTTTGGCCCAACCCTGGCTATTGCAGGCATTCTGGGAGTGAACCAGTAAATGGAATCACTGTCTCTCTGTCTTCCTCTGTCTCTCAAATCTTAAAAAATGCTTAAAAATAATAATTGCTGATACTTAACAGCAGTGTGTGCTGGGTGCCAGGCAGCATTTTTTGCACATTGTTTGTAGTAGCCCATTGCAGCCTAAGGGGGCCTCTGTGCAGCAGATAATACCATCATTGCAAGCACAGAGAGGCTCAGGAACTCGCTCAGGATCATAGAGCTAGTTAGTGATAGGGTCAGGCAGCCCGGCTGCAGAGCCAGCACATGTGGCACTGCCAGCAGTGCCCCGGCCCCCTCTCTGAGTGGGGAGCAGCCCTCTGTGCCAATCCTTGTGAGCTCCCTCATGCGGGAAATGTCACTTTCATTTCTGCATCCTCCTCTAGCACTTGGCTCCGGGTCTGCACACTCAGGGCTGTGTGTTTAATACAAATGAGCTGCTCATCGTCATGAAACAGCCAGCTGGGGGCCTGGCACTTTGCAGCTGGAAGCGACCTTGGGAAGTGTATACAGTGGGGAAAAAAACCCATCCTTCTCTCCTTGCTCAGTATAGAGCATCTGGTGACCACAGCACGTGGGAATTTTCCCCAGGCACCAAGCACTTCTCCAGTAGTCCCTGAGTGGAGTCCTACATTTCATTCAAAAGTGACACTGTCTGCTTTCTACTGGGATCTAGTGTCACAGCCCACAGGTTAAGGGCTCTGTCTCATAGGCTATGCTTTCTTCAGATGCCACAAACCCAAGGTTGTGTGTGTGTGTGTGTGTGTGTGTGTGTATGTTTTAATATGAGAGAGAAAGAGAGAGAGAGAGAGAGAGAGAGAGAGAGAGCTCCTATCCTCTAGTTCACTCCCCAAGTGCCTGCAGCAGCTGAGGTTGGGCTAGGCTAGTCAGGAGCCAGGAGTTCAATCCATGGACCAAAGTACTTGAGCCTCCTAGGGTCTGCATTTTTCTAGGAAGTTTGAGTCAGGAGCAGGTCCTCTGATATGGGATGCGAGCATCTTAACCACTAAGCCAAAGACCCCCATCCCCACCGGCTTGGGAGGAGAGGGAGAGAAAGAGAGAGAGAGATCGATCTTTCATCAGCTAGTTCACTCCCCAGATAGCTGAAATGCTGGGACAGTCAAAGTCAGGAACCAGGAGCTTCTTCCAGGTCTCCCACATGGGTGCAGAGGCCCAAACACTTGGGCCATCCTCCACTGCTCTCCCAGGTGCATTAGCAGGGAGCTGGATCAGAAGTAGAGCAGCCAGGACATGAAGTGGCACCCATATGGGATGCCTGTGTTGCAGGTGGTGGCTTTACACACAACTATGATTATTTTTCTAGCATTTTTTATAATTTGAGAGACAAGAAGACAGAGAGACAGTGATTCCATTTACTGGTTCACTCCCAGATGCTTGCAATAGCCAGGGTTGGGCCAAAGCCGAGAGCTGAGAACATGAGGGCTGTATGATAAAGGGTATCACAGGGGCACTGAACAGCCAGAGGGAACAAGTGCAGAGGGCAAAGGCCGCAGGAAGGGCTGGGGGCTTTGACCCCTCTCTGGGTGGCCCCTCCAGCTCCTCCAGGTAGCCCTGTCTGGAAGCTCCCTGACCCTGTCCTGCAGGAGTGGTACAGAGGCTTCGTCCCTGGCCATAAGTGATCACCTCACTGCCGCCTCTGCCTCCTCCCAGGCATGGTGGCAGGGCTGCAAGTTGCAGGCCTCTGAACAGAGCTCAGTTCCCCCGGCCCCCAGCCCCCATCCGGAGGCTGCCCAGGAGGCCTGGCTGCTCATTAGCAATCAGAGACCCTTAACACATTAGGAACTGTGTGCCCAAACCAGGCTGAAGACCAGACCTATGATTTTGCATTATACATCACAGTGTCCTAGGAGGCCCTCTACAGAGGAGGCAAAGGAGGCCCAGAGGGCGAGAGTCTGAGCCAGGGCCCCCAGGCCACCAGCCAGGGCCCTCTCCATGCAACAAGGGCTCTAAAGCACACTCCAGGTGGGCAGGCCACCCCGCCCGCCCATCCTCCCTCCACCCTGCGGCGCGTCCCCTGCGTCCTGGCCACTCTAACGGGCTCTCTGCTCCTGCCAGCTCTTCGTGATCGACAACGGCGCGGACGACTGGCGGATAGCCATGACCTACGAGCGCATCCTCTACATCAGCCTGGAGATGCTGGTGTGTGCCATCCACCCCATTCCCGGCGAGTACAAGTTCTTCTGGACGGCACGCCTGGCCTTCTCATATACCCCGTCGCGGGCCGAGGCCGACGTGGACATCATCCTGTCCATCCCCATGTTCCTGCGCCTGTACCTGATCGCGCGCGTCATGCTGCTGCACAGCAAGCTCTTCACCGACGCCTCCTCGCGCAGCATCGGGGCCCTGAACAAGATCAACTTCAACACCCGCTTCGTCATGAAGACGCTCATGACCATCTGCCCGGGCACCGTGCTGCTGGTGTTCAGCATCTCGCTGTGGATCATCGCCGCCTGGACTGTCCGCGTCTGCGAAAGGTACTCCCGTGGCTTCTGTTGTGCGGGCTCGCGGGCCATCTGAGCCGAGAGGCCCGGGCTGGCTGGGCTGGGAGCGGGAGGAGGAGCGGGGGGTACGCAGGCTGCCAGTCTGACGGAGGAGGCAGGCATGTCCCCAGCCACCTCATAGGCGCAAACAGGAAGTACAGAGGAAAACTCTGAAAGTCTGGTGCGGAGGGAAGCTGGGACAGCACACGCACCCTCCCCCGCCTCTCTCTGCCTTCTTTGCCTAACAGGTTGTTGACCCTGACTCAGGCACAACAAGGTTGCTATTTCCAGGACACCTCTCCCTCTCGGGGACGAATAGTGTCTCACTTCTGGTTTTTTAAAGGCTCTGAGAGGTCCTGCAGTGATGAATCCAGTTTACTTTTATTCCTCCACTTTTTCTCAGAAGCAGGTGCCCGCAGTCCCCTCTTTGTTGTAGAACACTCTTGGGGGCTGGCTGCTCAAAATCTGGTCCACACGCCAGCTCCATCAGTGTCCCTGGGCAGGAGGGAGCCTGTTAAAATGCAGAGTCTCAGGCCTGACCCCAGAACCGGGCAATCACAATTCACATTTTCACGAGCTCACCTGTGATCTGTGTGAGGCACATGTCGCTGGGGGCAGGACCTTCAGGAGACATTGTTTTAGGAGGCCAGTGGCTGGTGGCGGGGCAGCAGTGCTGAGAAGGGGGTGTGGCCTATGAGAGATCTGGGGCCTGGGAACGCGATGCTGGCTCCTCAGAACAGCCACCCCCAAGGCCAGGGGCAGGACTGTGGGTCCCTCCTCCTGCCACCACCCAGAAATGGCCTTTGTGACTCTGTTCCCTTTCAAGCTGGCCCTGGGTTTTCATTTTAATCTGATGTCACTTGGGAAGTCTGAACCATGTTTAGAAACCTGGGTTCTGCTCCCTCAGTGGCTGTGAGACCTCAGGCAAGTTGCTTAACCTCTCTGAGCCTCGGTTTGTTTGCTTCCCCAACAAAGGTCGCTTGAGTTAGAACGAAGATGTGTTCACTGAGATTGATGGCTTTTGTGGTGTTGGGGGACAAGGCCAACATCCTGTGTGGCTTACACGGGTCCTGGGCAACATCTTAATTCATCGACACCTTATTTGGTCGTGGGTGTTTCAGTCAACCACAGACTTCATACATGGAATTGTGTCGCCAGGGGACACGGTGGGTGTATGGGAGAAGAACACCCTGCGGCGTTCACACCGCCATGCCCTCAGCTAGTAACAGCGTCCTCGGCATGGACCCTGTCGCTAAGCGATGTGTGGCTGCACCGGCCAATCCCTGCTGCGCTGCGGGGACATGCCCCAGGGGAACGACACACAGCCAGGGAGGAGCTGGCCCAAGCAGGTGGGCCTGGAGAGCTACATTCCCCACCTATTTTGAGATGCTGGGTTCACAGATGTTTTCCTTGGATTCAAGCCCAGCAGACACGAGGGCAAACTGGGAGGGCCGCCCCAGAGACCCCGTGCAGTGTCCCCAGGATGTACCATACCCTCTTATTGAGACCTGGCCCCTGCCCCTGACTCAGCCCCTGCTCTCAGAGGGACCACAACCCACCAGGCCTCCCGGCTCTCTCCGATGAGCAGATGTTCTTCCTGCCATGGAGACAGCAGGTGCTTTCCGACGAACGCCTCGTGCTGCTCTTAGCTGGGCAGTGTCCCGCCAGTCACTTGATCACTTTGGGCCTCCGTGTTCCCATCTATAAACCTGGGCTGGTGTACCTACCTCACTTTACTGTTAGGGTCAAACAAGGGACCGTGTTTGAATTGCATATTGCATACGAGAGTGAAAATGAATAAGAGTGGGGGTCCCTCAGCAACTTTTGGGGATTTTGCCGCTGACTTAGAATACACTGACTCCCACCATATGTTGGCCTATGCTCTTCCTGTTCTCCTTTCTTATTGATGGAAGCTAAGTTTTGCAACTGCCTTAATAATTGATATTGCAAAGCCCTTCAAGCACTTTAAGTTTTCCACGTCCTCTGATTGACGCTTATTTCAGATGAGCAAACAGGCTGAATGAGCCGCAGAGTACCTGCAAGAGAGCCTGGTTGTTTCTAGAAGCTGTCAGGAGCAGAAGTGATGCTATTGTTTACTGGAAATAAGCATGGTTCAAAGTGTGTTGTTTGCAAAGTTCTTTGTTGTATTTTTTTGTGCTGTTGGGGGGCCCTCCATAGTTTCTGAACCATGTCTGCTCTCCTGAAGGCGACCATGGAGCCTTTGTCTCTGCAGACTCACAGGCCTGACTGAAGACCAGGGCAAAGCTGCAGAGAAACATGTATGGCAGAAATTCTAGAATTTTCTGTACTCTTGCAAGAGCCCGCAATGACCGGGGGCTTCTGCTTAGATGTAATGGCAGGCATGTTACAGCTGTTGTCATGGGGTTAGCATCACCTCTTGTTTTTGGGAGCTCACCCTGTGCTAGTTTAAAAAAAAACATAAAACAAAAAACAAAAAAACACAGGCCAGCGCCACGGCTCACTAGGCTAATACTCCGCCTGCGGCGCCAGTACCCCAAGTTCTAGTCCCAGTTGGGGCGCCAAATTTGGTCCCGGTAGCTCCTCTATCAATCCTCTCTGCTGTGGCCCGGGAGGGCAGTGGAGGATGGCCCAAGTGCTTGGGTCCTGCACCCGCATGGGAGACCAGGAGGAAGCACCTGGCTCCTGGCTTCAGATCGACGTAGCTCCGGCCGTAGCGGCCATTTGGGGGGTGAACCAACGGAAGGAAGACCTTTCTCTCTGTCTCTCTCTCTCTGTCTAACTCAGCCTATCAAAAAAACAAAACAAAACAAAACAAAACACTGATTTTATTTATTTGAAAGGCAGAGTGATACAGAGAGAACTCTTTCATCTTCTGGTTCACTGCTCAAATGGCTGCAACAGCTAGGGCTGGGCCAGGCCAAAGCCAGGAGCCTGGAACTCAATCCAGCTCTCCTACATGGGTGGCAGAGACCCAAACACTTGGGCCATCATCTGTGCCTTCCCCAGGAGCACTGTTAGCAGGGAGTGGGACTGGAAGTGGAGCAGCCGGGCACCCCATAAGGGAGGCTGGCATTGTAGGCAGTGGCTTAGCCTACTGTGCCAGTTCTGTGTAGCGTGCTTCGTATGTGCCCCTGCTTGTCCTTGAAGCAGACTTGTGATTGACAGGCCCCATTTTAGAGTTAAGTAAGCTGATGTAAATAAAATAAGGCCGAGGTCATGGAGCTAGGACACAGGGGCCAGAATTTGAACCTGGTTCTGATCCGGGCCTCATGCTTGTCTCGCCAGCCCGGGCTGAATCCTGCCTCTTAGGAGTGTGGTGGCCTAGACTCTCCCTGTGACCTTTCCACTCTGAGAGGCTCAAGGCCATGAGGCTGGCACCTAAATCCCAGGCTTGCCGCTTTGCCTGCCTCCACAGTCTGTGCTCTTGCCCTTTGGGTCCCCGGCTCCGTGTTCAGTGCAAACGTGTGTGTAGTGGGCCCTGTGTGCAGCGCCTGGTTGCCCCCACTGGAACCCGGGCTCTTTTTCCCTCAGCTGGGCTCATGTTGGCTGGGTCTTGGGCTCCTCTCTCTGAATCGTTGTGCCTGGCAGGAGCGACCTCACTCAAGGTCAAGGCCCATGTCCAGAGGCAGCAAGTATTTGCTGACTGTCATGGTGGGAGGCTCAGCCCCTCTGCTTCCAACAGGACAGCCAGGCAGGGCTGTGGCGCCAGAGTCCCCGTGTGAGGACTTCCACCTGTGTCCAGCCCTGCTTTTCTCACATCCCTCAGACAAGGATCCTGAGAGCAGCCCCAGTAAACCCCCTGCCCCCGGATCTCAGAGCTCCCCCGGGACTCTGACCTGTGGGCCTTGTGGGAGACATGTGTAGGCATGCTTTCTCCTAACCAGGAGGGGCACTTCTCCTGCAACGACCAAGCAATTTAGCAAGCTTAATGATCGTTGTCCTTCCCTGGTGTGTCTGATGAGTGGGATTGGCAGAGACCTTCAGACGGGAATTATTGAACCGGAGGCTAGACTTTCCAAAGCCGGAAGCAGGGGATGCTTTGGGGGAATGAAGCCTCAGTGCTGGCTTGGGGCTGGGGGTGGCAGTGCGGGCAAGATGGACTTGACCTCTCTGAGCCTGACCTGAGGGTACTTCTGTCATCTCCGGCATCAGAGAGGGTGAGCGACACCCGGGACCACACTGCAGTGTGACAGGTTCTAGCACAGCCCATAGCAGCTGGAGCCCGCATGCCAGGTGGCTTTCGTCAGCCCAGACTTGGCTCTGACTGTGTACACACACTCCATGAGTTGCTATGGAAATCCCTCAGCAGCAAGTCGCATTTTAAAAGACAGTTCTCATATCTTGGGTTGACTTTTATGTGACAATAAAGCTTTTCCACATCTCCTCCTCCCCCCAGGCGGAGAGGGAGTCGGTAATTCCGCAGGGCCCTGGGGCCCCGGGGGGCAGGACCTCAGCGAGACGTCGCATCACGGGCTGCGAGGCCTGCCAGTCGCGGCAGCTGGCCTTCGCCGGGATTCTCCTGGCTGCCTGCCCACCTCCCACATGCCTCCCAGGGCTGGTGGTGGAACCTCCCCATCAAACACTGTCACATGCAGGGCAGCCTCCCCGGGGAGGGACTGGCCAGCAGCAGGGGTCTCAGTCCCAGGGGCTGCAGGGTTGGGCAACACCCCCTGAACACCCTCTGCCCGCTCCCACTGGTGTGTTTATATCTGCGGGAGAGGAGCAGCAAGGCCTGCCACCATACTGATACCTGGGCCGAGTCTCGCTTGGTAATGGCCTTCCCGGCCTCTCACTGGAGCCCCTCCGGACTCCTCCCTCCTGCGGCTGCCAGTTCTGCACTCAGGCTGGCCCGGCGGCCGCCTCTGGTTGTGCTGCCATACGTGTTCGTCTTTCCCTGCAACCTGGTATTTCCTGGAGCAGTCTGGTTCTAATGCTAGACAGAAGCTGTGAGAGACCCATTACAGGCAAGACCGGGGAGGATGCTTTCCTGCACCGTCTCCCACCTGCTCGGC